GATATACAAATAATCAATGCAGACAAAAGCATAGTCTAGAAATAGACCTACATATAAACAGCTAGTTGATTTTCAACAAAGGTACCAATGAAGAACAAAGTATCTTTTCAACAAACAGACTGAAATAATTGTCCTTTCTTTTTCTTTTCTTTTCTTTTCTTTTCTTTTCTTTCTTTCTTTCTTTCTTTCTTTCTTTCTTTCTTTCTTTCTTTCTTTCTTTCTTTCTTTTTTTTTTTAATTGTATCAGGGACTAAACTCAGGACTTTGCTCTTACCAGGCAGGTAAAATTAACTTCACTGAAGCAAGAGGATTGCTGTGGTTTCAAGGCCAGCCTGAGCTATAAAGTGCAACGCTGTCTCAAAAAAAAGATTTTAAAAATCCTTCAACTCCTTGTTTCATACCAAAAAAGTAAATTCAAATAGATCCTAGACATAAAGGAGATGCCAAAATCATTCAGAGTTTAAGGAAAGACTGCTGGGCATTCTGATTGTGATGCACACCTATAATCCCAGCACTTAGGAGACTGAGGTAGAACTGAAGTAAATTCAAGGCCAGTTTAGGATGAATACTGAGTTCAAGGTCAAACTTAACTACACAGGAGACTCTGTCTCAAAAAAACAAAAACATAGAATAGCTTCACAAATTTAAGGTAGGCAACATTTCACAGGCAAATTAAAAAAAAAACTCCAAAAACAATATGAGAAAGCCAACATTTTGGCCCTAGCTTTCTAAGGTCAATTAAGACTCAGGACATAGGAGAACTTGTACTATAACGTCATGTGACTCAGTAGTGTCCCAAATTTTCTGATCAAGGAGATTATGGGGCCAAAGAGGAAAGTGATCGATGATGTACAGTGTACCTAAGGAGAGTCACATGGAGAGAAAACATTTTCTCAAGCTTTCAGAGAGAGCACATTGGCCAAGCAATGGCCGTGACTCATCCACATGGCTGATACTGACAAAGGTTCTACAATCTGAGGTACAGGATCTCAGGATAAATCCTGAGGAGATTTCACTGACCTTATCAGACCCAAAAGCTACAACTCTTGTTGCATAGGTCCTGCTTTACCTTGGTCTTAACCATCCAGCAGAAAACTATAAAAATGAAATATAAGAAGTAAAGCCATGCTGTTATGTTGAGCTGTAGGAGACTCAGGTCAACAATTTCTGACATTGACAGTCAAGTGGAAGACCCAATACTATTATGGACTACTGAACTCTTTTAGAATATTTTGCTGAGTTTACACACCTGTAATATTCAAATGATGGAACTTAACCAAAAAAGGGTATACAGATAAATGTACATTTTGTATCTGTGTATTCAAAGTGGTTAGGATAGATATATAGTTACATTCTCTTAATGAATAGAGTGATTTGTTCTAATGGTGTTAGGATATCATGTCTGCATCTTGTACAGTAATTAACCACTAGGAAGAATGTATGTAATGTGTTGATTATTGAAACTGTCCTACCAATTTGAAAAAAAAAAAAAACAATAAGACTCCATCAAATTATGGCTTTAAGATGGAAGTGATGGCACATGTCTATACTTCCAGCAATGTCCATTGTTCATAGAAAATAAGAGGCAAAACCACTTTGGAAAAAAATCTACTGTATCCTTTATTAAATTATAAAATAAAACCTGATGGCTTAGCAATTCCATCTCAAATATCCACAAAAAGCTGTGTACAAGAATATTCATAGACATTTTACTTATAATAATAAAAAAACTGGAAGTGGACCAGGTATCCATCTATAAAATAAAGAAATTGTGGGCAATTGTATGCATACTTGAGTAGAGAGAGGCACAGGCTACTGTTATAAGATCAAATCTCAAAACATTTTGCAGAGTGAGAAAAAGTACATAAATAATCACACAATACATAAATCCAATTATAGTCAGGAACAGCATAATATTTCAGTCAACCATGAACAAAATATACTACAGTAGTCCCATAAGATCATACCACCTGGTGAGATCACAGCTATCTTATTTGTGTACATTCACTCTGATACTCATACAATGATAAAATTGCCTAGCATCACATTCCTCAGAACACCCCCATCATTCAGTAATGTATGACTGTATTTGAAGTTCAATACAGGTACAATTGGTCAATGTTAAAACAAAAACAAAAACAGGATTCCTAATGGCCTGGAGCATACCATGAAGGTACTTTCCAGGATGATGATAATGTTCTGTATCTTTTATTTTATTTTAATGTGATAGGGTCTTGCTATGCTGCTTAGGCTGACCTTGAACTTCCGCCTCAGTTTTCCAAACAGCTTGGACTACAGGTGTGTACTGCCATGTCCAGCTCTTTCATTCAATAACAGCTTTATTGATATATATTTTAATACCATAAAGTTCACTCTTCTAAAGTACAATGGAACAGTTTTTAGAATATTCACAGAGTTATGTAACTGTCACCACAATCTAATTGCAGAAGAAACATGAGACACCCTAGCACTCACCCTCCCAAGTTCCTGGCAACAACTAATCTACTTTCTGTCTCTATGTAGTTGCCTATTTTGGACTTTCATATAAATGGAATCATAGAATTTGTGGCCTTTTGTTTCTGGCTTCTTTTACTTAGCTTAATATTTTCTAAGTTCTCCTATATTGTAACATATATCAATGAGTCCTTTTTATGGATAATTCTGTTGTATAGATGGACTACATTTTGTTGATCCGTTCATTTATCATTTAAATTGAACATTTAGGAAGTTATTTGACTGGAAAAGATACAAACAAGTTCCTAGGGTGATGGAAATGTTTTTGATTGACATGGAAGGTGCATGGGTATACATATTTGTCAAAATTTATTGAGATGTATATTTAGAATATGTGAATTTTATTGTAAGTAAGCTATAGTTTTGGGGGTGTTATTTGTTTGTTTGGGTTGGGTTTTTTGAGACAGGGTCACCTTGTTTTTAAGGCTGAGCTTAAATTCACTATGTAGCCTAGGTTGGCCTTAAACTCATGGCAGTTTTCCTGCCCCAGCCTCCTGAGAACTGAGATTACAGGTGTCCACCACTATGCCTAGCCTAGTTAACTATAATTTTAAAACATGTTCACTAGAAGAAAGATAGCCTCTTTAATATATGGTGTTGTTAAAACTGGCTTTTCAGGGGGCCAGGGAGATGGCTCAGTAGAATAAGTGCTTCACTGGTAAGCACAAGGGCCTGAGTTCAATCCCCAGTTCCACAAAAAACCAAAAACAAACAAACAAACAAAAACTGGCTTTCCACATGCTGAAGACTAAAACTAGACCTATGCACTAAACTAAAACCAAAATGGATCAAAAAATCTAAATATTAAAACAGAAATCCTAAACTAGTAGAAGAGAAAGTAGGTAGAAATCTTGAAGACATAGGGACAGGCAGAGAGTTCATGAACAAAAATAAAACTACATGGGAAATACTTCAAAGAATCAACAATGGGGATCTCATTAGAAAGTTTTTGCACATCACAAACAGAATAAAAAGAAAACCAATGAATTGGGGGAAAAATCAGCCAACTGTCTGTCAGACAAAGGACTTCTATCTAAAACATATAAAGAATTTTTTAAAAATCAGGTCCCCAAAATGCAAAGACCCAATCAAAAATTGAGCATCTGAGATGAAGACATATTTCTCAGATAAAGAAATACAAATGGCAAATAAAATGTGAAAAAATGTTCAACCTCATTAGTCTTTCAAGAAATGCAAATCAAAACAACACTGAAAGAATGGCTAGCATCAAGAAATCAACCAATAACAAGTGCTGGTGAGGCCATTGGGAAGAAGGAACCCTTCTCCACTGCCGGGGGATGGTGCAGGCTGGCACAATCAGTGTGGAGATTTCTCAAAAAAGAAAAAAGTAAAACAAATAAACAAACAAACAAACTAGGATTAGAGGTCCCATTCAACCCTGCTGTCTCCCTTCTACACATTATCCCAGAAAAATTGAAAACATCATACCACACAATATGTGCAACCATGTTTATAACAGCATAATTTGTCATGGCTAAATCTGGGAAACAACTCAAATGCCTATTAACTGAAGAATGGATTTAAAAAGATGTAGTATTTTTATACAATGGAGTATTATTCAGCAGTAAAGATAAACTCAAGGCTTTTATAGGTAAGTGGATGTAACTAGAGACCATACTCATAAGTGAAATAAATCAGACCCACATGTGTAAACATTGTATTGTCTACCTAGTATAAAGCCCTGAAAGAGTAAATAAAATCTGAAAGGTACAATAGATATTGTGAAAGGGAAAAAAATGCTCAAAAGAAAAGAACTAGGATGGGGGAAAGAAAAAAAAAGAAGGAAAAGATAGATAGACACACAAGATCACTAAGATAATTGTACTATTAATTTCTATTGGTTTAGTGAAAGGAACAGGTAATGCCTAATATTGAATGCGTATATCTGGTAATCTGAATAACTACTTTGAAGATAACAATATGCAATATAACAACCACTGTGCATTTCCTATCTTACTTGGAAATTCTGTATCATCTTTATTGGGTTTTAAAATTTGTTTTCTTTAAAATACAAAAAATGGTCCCTTCCGCCTGCTCCCCTTTCCCCCTCAGTCACCTCGCACCTGCAGCTTTTGGCTTTGACCCCCCTGCTCCAGTGACCAAAGACTTGAGTACTCAGAAAGTCTAGCTCCCCATAGTATTCGACATGGTGTGATTGAAGGTGGATTAAATGTCACTCTCACCATTCAGCTACTTATGCATGGGAAGGAAGTTGGCAGTATCATTGGAAAGAAAGGAGAATCAGTTAAGAAGATGCGTGAGGAGAGTGATGCATGTATCAACATCTCAGAAGGGAATTGTCCTGAGCGAATTATCACACTTTGGCTAGACCCACTAATGCCACCTTCAAAGCCTTTGCTATGATCATTGACAAACTGGAAGAGGACATCAGCAGCTCTATGACCAATAGCACAGCTGCCAGTAGGCCCCTGGTCACTCTGAGGCTGGTGATCCCTGCTAGTCAGTGTGGCTCTCTCATTGGAAAAGGTGGTTGCAAGATCAAGGAAATACAAGAGAGTACAGGGGCTCAGGTCCAAGTGGCAGGAGATATGCTCCCCAATTCAACTGAGCGTGCCATCACTATTGCTGGTATCCCACAATCCATCATTGAGTGTGTCAAACAGATCTGCATGATCATGTTGGAGACTCTTTCCCATTCCCCCCTTCAAAGGGCATGACCATCCCATACCCAAGCCATCAAGTTCTCCAGTCATCTTTGCAGGTGGTCAGGAAAGGTACAGCACAGGCAGCAACAGTGCGAGCTTTCCCCACACCACCCCGTCCATGTGCCTCACCCCTGACCTGGAGGGACCACCTGTAGAGGCCTATGCCATTCAAGGACAGTATGCCATTCCACAGCCAGATTTGACCAAGCTGCACCAGTTGGCAATGCAACAGTCTCATGTTCCCATGACGCATGGCAACACCAGATTCAGTGGCATTGAATCCAGCTCTCCAGAGGTGAAAGGCTATTGGGCAGGTTTGGATGCATCTGTTCAGACTACTTCTCATGAATTCACCATTCCAAACAATTTGATTGGTTGCATAATTGGCCATCAAGACACCAAAATCAACGAGATCCATCAGATGTCTTGGGCGCAGATCAAAATTGCAAACCCAGTGGAAGGATCTACTGATAGGCAGGTTACCATCACTGCATCTGCTGCCAGCGTTAGCCTGGCTCAATATCTAATCAATGTCAGGCTTTCCTCAGAGACGGGTGGCATGGGGAGCAGCTAAAACAATGCAGATTCGTCCATAATCCTTTCTGCTCTTCACCACCACCCATGATCCATCTGTGTAGTTTCTGAACAGTCAGTGATTCCAGGTTTTAAATAGTTTGTAAATTTTCAGTTTCTACACACTGTATCATCCACTCGTGATTTTTTAATTAAAGCATTTAATTCCTTTCTTTGTTCAGCTGTTTATGCTGAGATCCGTATTTAGTTATATAAGCTTCTCCCTGTTTTTTTGTTTTGTTTTGTTTTTTTGGCTCATGAATTTTTCTGTTTGTCATGAAAATGTAAGAGTGGAATATTAATACATTTCAGTTTAGTTCTGTAATGTTAGGAATTTTGAAAAAAAATTAAAAGATGGACTGGAAAAAAATAAAATACAAAAAATGTAAAAAAGAAGTCCAAGAAGAATAGAAGAGAGAAATACAGAAAAAGGGAGAAGAATACAGGAAAACATTTTTTTAGAAAGTAATTCTTCCTTACTTCAAATATAGCTATCATTGGTTATTTGAGGAATAGAAATAAACTCAAGTCAGGCTGGCCAGATGGCTCAGCAAACTAAGCATCTGCTTAGGCAGTTTGATCCCTGGCATGCCATGCCAGCCCCCCCCCCTCAGGGCACACTGAGGCTGCAATTGAGACTGGGCATGGTGGCATGCGCCTATAATCCCAGCACTTGGAAGACTGAAAACAGGAGGATCACTACAAATCTAATCGTGTAGACCTGTACTAAATACATTTTGAAAGAAAGAAAGAAAGAAAGAAAGAAAGAAAGAAAGAAAGAAAGAAAGAAAGAAAGAAAGAAAGAAAGAGACATTCTAGTCAAACACACTCATCAGCTTTTGCCAGTTGTTCTCAGTGGAGACCAAACCATGTTCAGGATCAACTCATGAATTCCCGATCTCCTAACTAACTAATCTTGATCAATTCTTCTCACCTGGGGCAGGGCACATACATCCTGCAGAACTGTCTATCCTACAGAGCCAAACCAGCTAGTCTACAATCCTGCTTGCTGAGGAAATGGCCTTATGGCCTTTCTGCTTTGGCCTGACCCATCCCTGCGTAGGCTCCTTAGCTGACCATCCTCCCTCTGTTATCATCTGAGCCTTTTGCTTATTGAGCAACTTTGTAATGCCAAGTTGTCCTGCAGGATAGACTTTCCTACTGCAAGAGAAAGATAATATCTGGTTAGCCTGGCAGTTCTACTCTATATCTTGACAGAAATCGATGTTAGCTTCACATTAAAACAAACGAACAAACAAACAAACAACTCTTTAAGCCAATGGGAGGCCATGCCAGGGAGTGGTGAGGAATGTGAAGGAGGGATGAGTGAAGAGCCTGTAGCACTGGGAAGGAGGGATACAGCTACCAGTTGGGTCAGGACACCCTGAGCAATGAACACACTGTCTCCTTGTCAAAAGAAACTAATTACATAGTCTAAAAATGAATAGATCATGGCACTTTCATTTGCTCTGACTGAGTAGACCACCTAGTGGTTGCAAGAACCTGTGTGTCGTCCTGAAGGCCCCAGTCCCAACGTGTCTGGGTATGAGGGTGGATGAATGTGAGCAACATGGAACGTACAGAAAACACTGCCAATATGAGCCAGCAAGTAGTGATTATTATGTCAACGATAGCTAATAGGTTATGAACACTAGTAGGGTGTTCAAATAGCAGAGGGACTTTTGTACCACTCCATCTACACACACCATGCTGAGCTCTTCATCAATGCCTGGTATGCCCTTTGCTTCAAGGCCTACAGTGAGACCTGCAGACCAAGCTACCATGAAGAATTAGAATGCACCATGGTAATCGTTAAAATGGAGGAATGTTCAAATTCTGCTCATGTAGGGTTTCTGCCTAACTGCAAGGGCAGTGGCAGGAGCTTTGTGAAAGAGGAAAGAAGGCTGGGGTCAAGCTAGGGACACCCAGAGAGAAGGAAGTCTCTTGGCATAAAGGCACAGAGGTGAAAATAAGCAGAGCTGAAGAGAGGTGTGGTTTGACCAGAAAAGCGCTCACAGTCAAGGGTAGCAGCAGGAACCAATGCAGAGGCGCACTCAGCTGGAAGGAACAAACACTCAAGGGAAACTTCCTGGAAGAGACAGCACAGGTCTTAAATGATAGAAAGAATTTAGATACAGCCAGATGAGGCACAGAAGTGCTTTGCATGTTGCAGGCTGGACAATGGCCTAGTTAAAGATGTCCAGATTCTAATAATCCCCAGAACTTGTAAACAGGTTACATCCCATGGTAAAAAGGATTTTGCAGATGTAATGAAAGTAAATATCTTGAGATGAGACATTAGCCTGCATTATTCAAGTGGGCTCAAGGTAATCAAAAAAGTCCTCCTACGAGGGAGTTAAGCGATCAATGTGAGTACTGTACTAGAGAAGTAACAGTGATGCGAGGAGGGGACCAAGAGCCGAGGAATGCAGGTGGCCTCCAAATGCTGAGAAGACAAAAAGCTTCTCTCCTGGAGCTTCCAGAGGGAGCACAGGCCTGTACACACTATGATTTCAGCCTCCATAAGAACTCATTTCAAGCTTTTGGTCTCCAAAAATTCAAGATAATAAATGTGTGCTCTGAGCCACTAAATCTGTGGTAATTTGTCATGGCAACAATTGGAAACTAGTATACTACAAAATCAGTAGAAATGTAACCCAGGGTCGGCCAAATAGCTCAGTGGATTAAAGTGCCTGCAAGCAGGAGCAGGGGCCGGGGGTTCAATCCCCCAACCCTGCTGTTCCAGCCCCGCCCCCATGGTATGCTGAGCTGGCAATTGAGACTGGGCATGGTGGAGCGTGCCTGTAGTCCCAGCTCTTGGGAGGTTGTAAACAAGTGGATCACTATGTCTAACCTAGTAGTGAGACCCTGAACACCCTGTAGACCCTTCCCTAAAAATACAAAAAGAAAAAGAACTGTAACCCATACATCATTCCTATATAATCCCCTTCTCCACACCCTGGGTAATATATTTCCCTCCAGAGATTTCACTGCATCAAAAAGAGTTAGAATGCATGCATATATTTCACAATTGTGGTCCCCACTAGACACTACTTCATTCATTCACTCAGCCAGAGACCAGAATGGAGCTAGGACAATGATTTATATCAATACCTCTGCCTTCAGAAAATGAAGAATCTGGTAAGGGATATAGACGGGTCGCCAGGAAATTGCAATTCAAGGATGTACTAAATACTTTGATGAAGGGTGGCAGAGTAGAATGTAAAAGCACAAGGGACAGCCAACTAATCCAGCTTCCCACAGGACTAAATGTCTCAACATAGGAGATCTCAGTTGGACAAAGAAGTAAGAAGAAAAGGAATCTAAACAGATGGAACTATATCTACCAAGATAAAGGCAGAAGAAGATATACAGAACCATAGATGAATTAGAGATTTCCAGGACAGAGATCAGAAGCTGAGGTAAATGGCTCCTGACTATAGTGACACATGTTTGCTGCACAGCTGTTTTTTCAGGTCCTTCCCTAGTAGGACAAAAAGTTCAGTGGCTATAGGAAGGTTCAAGGCAAAAATGGATAAGGAATACATTCTCCTACACGGAAGTGTAATTTGGACTTGTTTAGCACTAAAGAGAGAAGGTGCGGGGAGGAAATCACTAGGCTGAGGAACTTCAATCCCAATTCTTCTGAGTGACACATTTGCCTGGAATATCACTCACTTCACTCAGTGTCTGCTGCTTTCCCCTGCTATCCCATACCCATACACATAGTGTACACTGACAGGTGACAAATTCATCTTCCAGTGGTTATGTTCATTAGTAAAATAAAGAGATGAAGAGTTCCATGCAGAAAATACACTGATATCTCCAGTTGGTTTCCAGCCTGAGACATTCCCAGATGGCTGATATCCTAAATTATTTGAACAAATCAATAGTATTATCGTATCTGCATGCAGAAAATATACACATGTCTGATACAAGATTATATATGAGTGGTAGATGAATAGTGCTTGGTCACAAAGGTGAGAAAATCTGGAGGTGAAAAGAAAGGAAACAGGAATGAGAAAAGGAAAAAAAGAGATCAAGAAAAGGAAAACACAGTTAGAAAGAAGGCCTTAGGCCAATCATTTCCTCTATCTGAAACCATTCCTAATCTTGCATAGGACAGATATAGAGGCACCTCTCCCATTTTGTACAATGAATGAGTGGAGGCCAGATTTTTCAAGACTGTTGAAAGCTTTCTAGAACTCCTGACCTCAGTGAACAAGATGAGGACCATGATTGGCAAAGGCATCAGTAGTGAGGCCACAGGAACAGAACAGCTCTTCCTGGGTCAATATCCAAGCCCTTAAAGCACAGATCTTGTCCACAATAGAAATCTGGGCCAGGGATTGTGTGTCAGCAGAAGAGGAGTGCATGAGGAACTGTAGTGAATACCTAAGAGGAATTTTTGCAAATAATTTTAATTGCCACTATTTAAGGGCTAAGACTCTGAATCCTGAGAAGCAACACTTTTTCCTCCTTAAGCAAGAGGAGAAATTAAAAGAACTCACTGTGCTTAGTAAGTGCGTTGGTGTGAGCCCACACTCAGCAGAACATGGTGAAGGGGGTGGGCAAAGCAATGGAGAGCTCAGCCAAGTTCCAGATGGTACAGGCACAGAGATGGTGGGGGCTACTGCAAAGAGGGCAGGATGCCAACCAGGAGAGAACTATTCCAAAGAAAACTGCACAAGCAATGTGTGGGGAAAGTTAAACCTTTGTGATTTAGATAGACACAGGTGCTCTGAAGCAGGCTCCAGTCAACCTCCTGCATCCTCGTTTCTCCTCAGCAGTAGATGCTGCAGAAGCAGAGCTGCTGATTGGGCTTGACTGGGTCAGTGGAGTTTGAAGGGAACATGTACAGGCAAGAGACTAGGAACACTGGCTCAACTACTCATTGGCCATGTAACCTTGGGCCAGTTACTTCTGCTCTGAAACTGTTTCTTCATCTTGCAAAGAGCAGGAGTGGAGGGGCTACAATCTCTTTGGTAAGTATCTAAAACC